CCCCCTGCTTGTGTTCCCTCTCTCGCTGTGTCTCTCTCTGTCAAATGAATAAATAAAATCTTTTTAAAAAAATAGGAACTTTGAATAACAGTTCTAAAGTCTAGATGTCTGTGTCCATATTCCAGAGGCAGCAGCGAGTCTCAAAGATCCAGCTTTGACTGACGGTTGGGCCCCCCACTGGCGATGTAGCATTGAGCAAGTTGCTGGTGGGCCTCGGTTATTCATGTGGGCAAGGGGGATCAGGAGGTATATCAGTTAGCTATTGCTTTGTGACAAATTCACCTCAAAATTAGTGGTTTAAACACCATTTATTATTCTCTCAGTCTACCGGTGGGCTGGTGGTTCTGCTGGGCTAAGCTGGGCTTGGCTAGGCTCGCTCACGTATCTGCATGTAAGTGGCTCTCCTTATTTTGGCTGGGCACCATCGCTTGTGTGAGGGCCTGAGCAGGGACGACTGGGCTGAGTAGGTTCTCCCACACATGGTCTCATCCTCTGGCAGTCTAGCTTACCAAGACTCGTTCTCATGGTAGTGGCAGGGGTCCAGGAAAGGGAGGGAAAATTCTCTTGCAGCCTAGACTCAGAACTAGCAGGGCATTCTATTAGTTAACGCGATCCGCCAAGGTCAGCCCAGATTTCCAAGGGGGAGGAAATAGATTCCACCTCCTGAAGGGAGGAGCTACAGTTGTTTTGCAAAAAGCACAGATCTGGAAAGGGGTGGAGTGTTGAGATCATTTATGTAATCAACTTATCATAGGAGATAGACTCCCCTAATTCAGAGGACAGTGTTGGGGTAGTGGGGGCCTTTAAGGTGGTAAGGAGGCTCAGACAACTGAGGTCAAAGGCTTGACAGGGCTTTGAGAATGATAAAGCACCCCACAACTAGTGCTTCTAGTAACCCACCTCACCTGTGGGGCTGTGAGTTCTCGCTGTGTCCCTCTCCTGCCCACCCCTTCAGTACCGAGGAAAGTCTCACCTACGTGAAAGGAAACGGAGAAGTAAAGCAGTTACTGGCAACAGGGGCACACTCTGTGTTCCCACCCCCAGAACAAAGACAGACTTTAAACCCTCTGGAATCAGAGAAGCTCTCTTCCCTTCTGCAAGCTCTGCTTCCCCTTCTTGCAGCCCTGCTCCCACCTCCAAGGGGACTTGGCAGGGTATCACCGGTCTTCCCAACAACTGAGGGCACACAAGGATGACTTGCTGAAGGTGACCAACTAATGGGGGAGGACCCCCCAGATCCTGCTCAGGGAACCCACCAGCACCTGCCTGAGGGACTGTCAGTAAGAGCAACTCACCTGGCACTGTACCACCTGAGTGCAGGTACCTGCTGTGTGGCTCCCAGAATCGTATGGTATTGATTTACAGATGCTAACACAAGGCGGAGCCCTGGAAACCCATCTCCCTACGGATCCTCGATTCTGCCTGCTCTTCCTTTCCATGGCCTTTGTCTCCCGCTTCTCCTCCATATTACCTTCCCCAAACACTGGTAGGTTGCATCACATTCCTGCTTACTAATGAACTAATGCTTATTGAGCTCTTACAATGGGCCGGGTGCTGTTCTAAGCTCTTTCCTTGATTTAACTCATTGAATCTTCCCAATTCTGTGAGGAAGTCCCTAGCACTATAATACCCTGTTTTCCAGAGAAAGACACTGAGGCACAAGAGGATAAAGTGACTTATTCAAGGTTACTTTGTAAGCAAGTGGCAAACTTAAGATTTGAACTCAGGCAGTCTGGTTCCTGAGCGTGGGCTCCTCAGGCCAGAAAACCTCTCTATTTTTTTTAAATAATAAATAACAATAATATAATGATTAACATGCATGGAATCCTTACGTATGTTAGGTCCTGTTTTGACTGTGTTAGGTGCCTTAACTCATCTGATTCTTATAATAGTACTAGAGACTTGGGGGACGGGGAATACCATTATTGTCCTCCTTTTACAGGTAAGAAAACACAGTTACACAACAGGGATGGGTTGCCAGGCACTTTAGCTTCAGAGCCAAGCTTTATACATCTGTACTGTCTGCTTCCCCGAGGTCTGTTCAGCCCAAGAGCCCAGCATCCAAAGGCTCTTTGGGTTTATGCAGTATGATCTCTGCATTTCCACCAAAGTATATCTTTTGTCTCTTGGTCTATGCATGTCTTTTCCTTCCCAACCAGACCTTGAGCTCCACAAGGCCAGATCTGAGGTTTGTTTCTTGTCTCAGTTTCCCCAGGTCACGGCAAGAAGCCTATCAAATGGGAGCAGGGGTCAGTGGCAGTCTTTTGAATCAAACCACCGTATGTCAGAAGGTGAACACATCCTCTCTCAGAGGAGTGAAGTCGCCACCCACCATGACCTGCACTTTAGAATTAGCCCAGGACTTGCTGCTTTGGCTTCCAGACCCCACCCAGATCCCCCAGATCCATTTTTTAAATTAAGTCTTGTTTAATATGCCCCCAGGAAGCTACTACTGAGAGCAACCATCATCACAGCAAAGAAATACAGTGAATATTTTGTCAATGGTGTTCCTAAATTAACAAATTTTGGCCCAACTTACAGCAGGTTACAAACTTGGTGATTAAGCCTCAGAATGGCCATGGTGTCCCCATAACTATAATCTTAGTTTCTCTTTCTTGAGAGGGAGAGTGTGTCAGGAAGAATGCTTCTCATTTTACAAAAGGGAAATTTGAAGGATGTCTGGGTGGCTCAGTCGGTTAAGCATCTGCCTGGGTTCTGTCATGATCCCAGGATCCTGGGATCCAGTCCTGTATTGGGCTCCCTGTTCAGAGGGGAGCCTGCTTCTCCTTCTGTCTGCTGCTCCCCCTGCTTGTGCTCTCTCTCTCTCTCTCTGACAAATAAATAAATAAAATCTTAAAAAAAAAAAGGGAAAATTGAGTTACCCAAGATCACCCAGAAAGCAAAGCATTGAGTCAAAGGCTAGAATCCCTTTATTCTATCAGGAAATGGGGTGAGATGACCTTACAAGACCTACTTCAGATTGGGGTTTCCATCATCCTGCATTGTCAGCTCTCCTAGCCAAACTTACAAAGGGCTATGAGAGCTGAGTAGGAACTCAGTAGCATTCAACTGGGATTGAAGACTTAAAAACACAAGGGTTTGGACCTCTCCAGAATATGCTCAAGAGCCTGACAGCAACTTACAAGACCCTCAGTCTGGATTCTTCCAATACATGTGTGAAAAGTCGTAACAGGAAACTTCATTTATTATTTTATTTTTTAAGTAAACTCTACCCCCAGTGTGGGACTCAGACTCAGGACCACAAGATTACGAGTTGCATGCTCTAGCAATTGAGCCAGCCAGGTGCCCCAGGAAACCTCGTGTAAAGTGCAGTCACCAGGCCAGAAGGAAGAGCTCTCATGCCCTATCACTCAACTGCAGACCCAGGAGGAAGTGAGGCACCTTACACATTCACACTGTTTTACTACCCAGCTGGAAGGAAAAAAAGGTTTTCTCCTCCCACAGCAGCAGCTCAGCCAATGAGAGAATGTCATAACCTCAGCCAATGAAAAGCCACTATACTTCAAATTCCCAGTTTACTCCAATGGACTTTTTGTTTCTAATAGCCCTTCCTAACTTCCCCCTTTCCTCTGTAAAAGAGCTGTCCTCTCCTTTGTGCCCTGGACCTGCCTGTGGCTTTGGCCTGGCTTGTTTGTCAGGAGTTGCAACTCTCTGCTATTCTGGAATAAACCATTTGGCTGTTAAAATAACTGATAGTTTTATTTATTTATAAACATTTATTTCATTATTTATTTTAGAGAGAGCAGAGGGACAGGGAGAGAATCTCAAGCAGACTCTGAGCTGAGTGTGGCAGTGGTGGTGGGGCTCATCCCCTGGCCCTGAGATCCCGACCTGAGCCAAAATCAAGAGTCGGTAGACTCACCGTGGACTCACTGACTGAGCCACCCAGGCTCCCGACTGACAGTTTTAAGTTTAACACATCTAGGCTCTTCACAGGTGGGTCTTTCATTCAGTCAATAAACATTTATGGAGAGCCTACTATGTGCCAGGCACCCAACGTAAAGGACCTCACATACTGGTAACAATCCTGTGAGGTAGGCATTTTAACCATCCCTCTTTTACACGTTAAGGCACAGATTCAGAGAAGTAAACATAGAGCTGGAGTACCAGCAGAGTGTTTCAGCAGACAGCATTTCCAGCCACAAAGCACATTCCCACCGTGCGTCCCACAGAGTTTCACTTCCAGGAGCAGTAATGGTGGTAAAGCTTGCTGGTTAAGAGCAATGGCTTGAGACTAGAGCTGAGTTTCAGTCCCCACTCAGCCATGTGTGTGACCCACAGAGGTCATTTAACCCCTCCTCTTGGCTTCAGTTACCTCTGCTGTAAAATGAGAATAATAAAATGCCTTCCTCGTGGGTCTGTTGGGAGGACAAATGAGATAAAGCACATAAACATAAAGTCCTATGAGAGACGCCTGGATGGGAGTATTTTGTGTGTGTATGTAAGACCCCCATCCCCCTAATGAAGACTGCCAGGTCCCCAGACCCCTGGTCAGGCGTTCTCTCTGCTCTCTGGATGTAAAATCCAGAAGGTCCCATGACTGGAGAAGGGTGAGTCTGGGAAAGTCAGTCTGTAGGAGGTGACTGAGCAAAAGGACAAGCGGTGGGTGGTTTGGCCATGAAGAGCCCTGGGAGAGAGACGCGGGGTCCCAGGGTTGGGAGAGGGGAAGGGGCAGCAGGTGGGCTCCCTAGGGGACTTCCTGGGCCCCTCCCGCCTGGCGCCCCTGGCAGCCCCGAGCATGGGAGAGGTGGGCACCCGGGGAGGGTCTCCTGGAAAGATGCTTCTAAACTGTTTGCGGGGATTAATCAGGTCCGCGAGCCCAGTCAGTCGGTCGCGGCTCCCTGTCCTCTTGGCCGGCCTTTCCCGCAGGGGGCTCCGGCTAGTCCCGTCTTCGAGAGCTGGGGCTTGTGGCGTGCGCGGGGCGGAGGCTTATCGAGGGCGCCCGGGGGAAGCGGTTGCCCCTCCCACCCCTCCCGGCCAGCCGGGTGCGGGCTTGACCTTGAGCTTCGCGCGCTGGCGGCCTAAGCCCGCTGCCAGGCAACAGCGCGCTTTCCCGCCGGCCGGCGGCCGCGCCGCCCTCCTCCCGCCTCTTCCGCGCACGCGGGCGCGGGATCCTAGGCGGATCCAGGCCGGGTTTTGCGGCGGCACGTCCGCATCTGTTGCTCTTGGCAGCGGTCGGCGGCGGGAGATCATGGTGCTGGACGAACTGTGGGCCGCGCTGTCTGGCGCTTCTGGGGCTGCCCTGGCCTGCTGCTTCGTGGCGGCGGCCGTGGCCCTGCGCTGGTCAAGTCGCCGCCCGGCGCGGGGCGCGGTGGCCCGGGCGCGACAGAGGCAGCGGGCGGCCCTGGAGACCATGGACAAGGCGGCGCAGCGCTTCCGCCTCCAGGTGACCGTTCGGGTCCGGTGTGTGTGGGGAGGCACAGGGCGGGGATATCCCTGGCAGCATTCTCAGGCGCACTGGCTCGCGGAGAGGCAGGTGGCGGGCAGCGCAGGTTTTACTTTCGGAACCTCTCCACGCCCTAATGCCTTCCGTATTCTTTCCGAGTCAGGTAGAGCCAGCCAAGGGGAGAGGCAGGGAGACGAAAGGGCCAGGGCAGGTCCTGAAAGGACATCGTCGCACCGGGTCAAAGAAAGAGGAGCTTTGCTCGGTACCAAAGAATCTCAAGCCTGGACTTTGGAATCAGAGGGGGATGGCCAAGGAAATCTGGAGCGCTCACAGTTCAAAGTGGTTGTGCGTGATGATCCTGAAAGCGAGCCAGGGAAGGATTTGCCCAAGTGCCACCAGGGAGCCGGGCTGGATAGTTTCCCCAGCTCCTGCCGCCCAGGTGTTGTTCTAACCCCTGATAGGTCCCGTTCCTTGAGCAGGTGTAATTCCAGTCCTTCCCTGGATGATCTGTCAACAAGCTTTTCTCCTTCAGCATCCGCTCAGTGTTTGTTTAGGCGCCAGGGAGGGACCTAGAGGAGGGGACTTTCACTCCAGGTGTTTGAGACACTGGACCCAGCTAGAAGTCAAAATGATAAATTCTGAGAGATGTTCTTATGTGCCAAGAGAGGAAAAACTTGCCACGATTGTTTGTGAGGGTTTGTGTTTGATAGGATTCAGATCTGACAAGTGGGAAAGCATTCCAGGTGACTGGGGACACAACAGGAGTCAGGAGGATGTGCCTAGGTAGGAGCCAGGGCAGGAGTCACAGAAAATTGCACTTAGCAGATGCTCAGCGGCAGCAAGTGATTTTAGAGTTGGGGCAGAGTTGGAACTAGAACCTAGATGTCCAGTGGGACTCTCCAGCCTCATTCCAGCGGGGGAGAGCAGGGGGAGATATTAGGTAGGGAGACCGGGCCTTAGGATGCCAGGCCCAGGGTGAAGCCTCGATCACAGTGAGGTTTTAGCTGCTATGAATATACTCCACACCGTTCCGGGGCCAGGATATGTAATATTTATTTATTTGTTGACATAAATATGTATCTGGTTCCAGCCTCTTTTCATTAAGCTGGCTGAAAAGCCCACCGTCAGTCAGGTTTTAGAAGTTCAATCCAGACTGGCCGTTGGCCGTAGCTGAGCCCAAGTTCTTCACTGTCTAGTCCCCCTTCTCTGGCTGAGCTCCAAGGTATCCCACTCGGGGATCCTTGCAATGCTACTGGGCTCAGCCCCTTACCCTCCACTGCTCCCGAGGCCCCTGTTCTGGAGTAACTGCCAGAACTGCAGCCAGCCGGTTCTACCAGCAAGAACTGTGTGGGGGCAGCTTCAGGGATCAGCCCACAGTTCCTGCCTGCTAAACTCCCCTCCTCGTCACAAGAAACAAGAAACCCACTTGCTGGCAGGAGCATGAGGCCGTAGAAGGGTGGTGGGTCTTCCTTCACTTCAGCTCCAAACACCAGCATCTACACAGTTTCCGTCTGGAGCAACTGTCTCTCATTATTTTTAAGAACAAAATCTTCCAGGATAGAAGTTTTGGCTCTGAAATACAAAATGCTGTTTTGCACCCTGCCCGGGGCAGGAAAGCCTGGCCTCAGAATGCCAACGCTTGGCTCTTCCAAGTGAGTGAACTGTGAAATTTACTTGTTGACTTTCCAGTGATTGTAGAGGAGAAAGAACGATCTCAGTAGTCTCCCTGGTTTGCACAATCAGCAAAGGGATGGGGTCCTGACAACAGTAGCTCTGAAGGCCCTGGGGGCAGTTAAGAGGTAGGTGGTTTAGCCGAACTCAGTCCCTAGGGACCTTGGGACCAGCTCCTTCCTCCTTCCTGCCCCCAAATGCCTTTCTGCTTGGCTCTGGAGGCGCAGGATGGTGGGGATGTGGGTTTTGAGGCTGTCTCAGCAGCCTTTCTTCTGCGGCTTTTTTGGCCCAGCCCCAAATAGCAAGGGGCAGTGAGGTAAGCAGGGCTCAGGGCAGGCCCTGGAGGGATGGAGCAGCTGGTGGTACAGCCCCAGGCTGATAGACTGCTGATGAAGCTAGCTGGGGGTCCAGATACCGCCAGCGTTCCCAGGCATCGCTGGGGATCCTAAGCATCTCTCTCTTTTTTTAAATTTTTTATTGTTATGTTAATCACCATACATTACATCATTAGTCTTTGATGTAGTGTTCCATGATTCATTGCTTGTGCATAACACCCAGGGCTCCACGCAGAACGTGCCCTCTTTAATACCCATCACCAGGCTAGCCCATCCCCCCAGCCCCCTCCCCCTAAGCATCTCTTGAATCATCACAAAATCCTTCACCTCTTTCGACTCTTGAGCAGCTCTAGAGTAAAGCCTGTTTCTGGTAACTCTCTGTTGACTGTGTGAGGCTTAATCTGTAACAACTCTTTGCCCACTTCTTCCCCCCCCCCCCCGAATGAGTTTTAATATCCTTTCTAGACTGAAGAGAGGGACTAGCATCCCTAGAATATGATGGCTGGGAGAGACATACCAGAGCACCTGCTCACACCTCTGTGCCCTTGCCCACATCTCTGACAACCTGTTTTGTCAGAACCCCACTGGTCTTCACAAATGCCGCTTCCTTCTGTTGGGTCTGACCCATGCTTCCACCTCCTGGCCTTCTCCAAGCCTGACTTTAAAGCAAAATGATTCAGTAGACGAATCATTTGTTGAGACCAGGATCCGTGGCCTACATGACCCAATGGAAAAGATATATTGAAATAGAACAAACGTGATAAAAACCATGAGGGGAAAAGAAAAAAAAACATGGAGGATCCCAGAAATTAGGACAGTAGGGGCCTCAAGGAGAAAAACAGCTGGTGGGGAGCAGTGGTGTCCCTCCCTTGAAAAAGAATGCCACGGGGTGGCCCTGTGCTTTGTTAGAACTTGTTTGTACACATCTCTGCATTTCCATTCGAATGTCATCGCGCTCGCATTTGTGGACTGGCCCCGGAGACACGCAGGCCTTCTTGGGTGTCTTGTGGAAGAAGAAATGTCTCAGCTGCCTGATAACTAGTTGAAGACTTAAAAATAACCGTTAGCAACAGTGTCATCAGCCATCCACACCCAAGAACAAAAGACAGAGTTAAAATCTGTGCTGAGAATGGAGGGAGCTTGCTGACAGTGTCGAGGGGAGACACACAGGGACTCCGTGGTGTCTTGTTGCAAGGTGGGAAATGGTGGTGCCCAGACCGTTGGTGGTAATTACCCTCGTGGGGGCGGGGGGCCCTTCGCTGATTTTTACTTTCTTCCCCATACTGTTAGGCATTCTTTTCTACAGTGGGCACATTTATATAATCAGAAAAAAAAAAGCCATTTTGCTATTTTCATCATGAAGTGAGAAAGGCAAGGTGTAGCAAGTAATGTCTATATGGTATGATTCCTTTGTGCAAAGCCAGAATATATAAATACAATTCCCTACACGGTGGGTTTTTCATAAACATTTTTTTTCCCCTGTAAGGTTTCATTAGAAACCTTATGGTTTCCTTTTCAGAAGAGGGCCTGGGCAGGGTGGTCCTCGGGGTGGGTGGGGTAAATGTTCATTTTTCATTTTTTGTCTCTTTTTAAAAAATATATCACCAGGGATTATCTTGTGTGTGTGGAGATATCATGATTCATTTTTTTCTTCTTTGTGGCTCCCTGTATTATATATATATATATGATAAATATATATATATAATATATATCTATAAATATCTGTATGTATGTATTTGTATTATATCTATATATCTATAGATACAGATTATCCCAAGTAAGTAACATATCTCTTTAACAAATTAAGGGCAGGGGATAGAGTGTTCTTTCTGTTAAAGCCGGGGTACCAAGGTTGTGTGGTGGGCGTGTGTGGAGGGCGTGAGTAGGTGGTGTCTCAGGGAGGGGTGCAGAGGAGTCAGACAGGTGCCTGGAAGCACCTCCTGGCACACCTCTGGGGCTTGTGGTGTGACAGGGACCTTCAGGTGAGAGGCAAGGCCTGACAGGCTTTGCACTGTTTAGCCTGGCAGGAAGGGCGGGTGGGCAGCGCCTGCCTTGGGCCTGGCAGCCACTTAGGTGGCCTCTGTGTGAGCCAGGAGAGAAAGCTGGGCACCAGCGAGGGTCTTGGTAGACGGGTTGGAGAAGTGGTTGTTTTCCAGAGCTACTTAGTGAGCACAGTGACTGACTGGGTTTGGCTGTGGGTGGGAGGGAGAAGGAGGGGTCTGGGATGACTCCTTTTTTCTCACTTTCCTCCCTGGATAGACTGACGGCCCTTCCCTGAGCAAGGGTACAGGGAGCAGGAACCAAGGGAAAGCGGGGGAGCAGTGAGCTCGGGGGGAGGGACACACGGGTGGGTGGCAATGGGAATAGCCTGTGAGCACCGGAGCTTGATTGGGTCAGGAGGCCGGCGGGGCAGGTGGAGAGCCTGGATGGGGGCCACGAGAGAAGGATTCACTTCTTCCAGCCTCAGAGACAGAACAAGAGGACTCTGTCTTTCCCACGTCTGGCTCCTTCTCATCCTTCAGATCACAGCCGAAAAAATGTCACCTCCTCGGCGAGGCCTGACCATCGCATCTGAGTCAGTCCTCTGTTATTTCCATCACAGCAGTGTGTACTTGCCTTCTTGCACTTTCCGTGAGCTGTCCATCATGTGTTGACTTGTTTCTTTTCTTGAGTGCAGGCTCTCTGAAAGCAGGGACTTGTCTGTCTTGGTTGCCTCTAAATTCATAGCCCTTAACGTAGTCCTTGGCACATAGTAGGTGCTCAGAACATATTTGCCGACTGACTGAATAAATGGATGACACAAGTAGCAGAGAAGCTGGAGAAAACCAGAGGCAGTTGAAGAGAGCCAGTGTGTGGTCTCAGTACCTTTGAATCCCTCAGTGAGACATGGAGCAAAGAACAGAATCAAGTATCTCTCGGATTTGGCGAGAGGAGGGCCCTGGTGACCTTGGCGAGGGCAGGAGAGAGTGGGGCTGCGAAATGGTGGCTGTGATTCAGAGATCCCCCTCCTGCCAACCACCGCCCAACCACCCAGGACAGTGTCTTCTTTTTTTTATGCCTCCCCTGCCAGGGGTGGGGTGGTTAGGTGCAGGTGGATAGCCAGTGGACAGCCTATGTTGAGTGGGCAGAGAACTATAGTTCGCCTGTATGGTCCTAGGTACCATAGCCTCTCAATGCTTTAGTTTCTTTATCTGTGCAATGGGAATGGTAACAAGATTTAATCACCATACAGAGTGTACCTACTAGTGGGGTGCCTACAGGCAGCTCTTAGTGGTTGTGGTTTGTAATGGTTTCATAATCAGCCTGGGCATGGCCTTTCCTGGGGCACTGCCTCCGATAACCTTCTGGAAGAAGGTTATTTGCACTGTCCATAGGTGACAAGGACCTGCCTAGGCTGGGCCACATTTCTGGTGTCAGAGCTGCAGGTGGGCACGTCTGTCATGGATTGGCATGTGACATGAGCATCTGCTTTGGCAGGTATCGGGACCTAGGGGCACGGGCCATGGGTGTCTGCTGTAGGCACCTGGGGACTGTGGGGAGAGGGCGTACTCACCTGAGGTGTCTTTCCAGAACCCTGACCTCGACTCAGAGGCACTGCTGGCCCTGCCCCTGACTCAGCTGGTGCAGAAGTTACACAGTGGGGAGCTGTCCGCTGAGGCGGCAGTCTTCACCTACTTGGGAAAGGTAAGGCCCTTGTTGCCAGGGATCCTCTCTCTCTCTGCAAAGGCTGTGGGGAAAACCCGGCCTGGAATTTGTCTCTCTGAGGGTCGGGGGGGGGGGGGGGGGGGGGGGGGAACCACAGTGCCAGGGGCTGCCAGGAGGTGCATGAGAGAAAGAGAAAGAGAGAGAGAGAGAGAGGAGCTGACTCTGTGTGTGTGTTTGTGTGGGGGCGACACTGAGCATGTTGTCTTAGCTAGAAGCCTGGCTTGCAGCCCAGACTTCCCTCTCCCTCCCGCCTCCACCCACCGGTCACCAAGTATGGTCTGTTCTCTTTCTATAGCTCTCTCCAGTCCAACCCCTTGTCCCCATCCCCCCAGCAGCCACCCTGGTCCTCCACCACCGTCTCCCTCCACCATGGATCGCCAGCCTCCTGCCTGATGCCCTCTCAGGTCTGCAGTTCTTCAGACTCTGCTCTTCTCCTCTTCGGTCTCCGGCATCCTGTCTGGCCAAGGCCTTCTGGAGGGTGGGCAGCAGTAGTTGCCGGTGGTTCCCTGGCACCCAGAGCCTGCCATGCTGAGCCCTGCCTTGTGCAGGATTCCCTTTACCTGGAAGGCTCTTCTCCCTCTTCTTTGCCCCACTTGGGGTAGCAGGCACCACCGGCTGAACCTTCTGGGCTCAGAGAAGGAGGCCCTCTTCCAGGGAGTTAGGGTTCCCGCGCCAGCGCTCACTTTTTAACACATTTCTCTGGGCCTTGTTGCGCTCACCTTGTCCTCTTTCCCCTGTCAACGCGGGCCCCTTGTGGACAGAGCTTGTCTTATTTGTCTTCGTACTTAGTGCCAGACACTATATCTTTCATGTAGCAAGTGTTCCAGGCACCTGTTTGAAATGAAATGAAGGAAAGAGTTGTGCTTTATGAGTTGCCTTGCTTGTGGTTTCCTGAAACAGAGTGTGATGGGCATGGGTGACAGTGGGGTGAGTGACTACCAGTTGAGCAAGGGGGAGGGAGAGGGAGCCTGACTATGGAGGGAGGACCCCAAGCTCCTGCACTGGATGCCCGAGGGGACACTGGCAGGCTCAGCAGACTGTGCTGTGTCTCCTCATTCGGTGTCCCTGAAAAGTGGCTGCCCTTCCTAATCACCCACAGAGTTCATGGGCCAAGGTGCAGCAGCGGGGCCCACACCCATCTTCCTCAGATGCCTCACAGGGACAGGCGTATTTGCTGAAAGCCATACATCATTCTGCCCTGGCCCGCCCTCCCACAGGGCGCCGCTGAGTGTGGTTTGAGGGCTATGGAGAGGCCCCAGGGCAGGTGGCCCCCGTTAATGCATCATTTCCTTTTAGGCAAGCTCCCACCCCCTTAAATGATTTGTATCAGTCAGTCACTTCTCCATGTGACTTGATTATCAGATTCAAGAGTTTCTGGGGGAGGGGAGGCTTAGCTGGTGCGGGTGTGGGCCAGGCCTGGGGCAAGAGAAAACCTGCTGGCCTCTGGGAGGCTGGAACCTGGGTCTAGCCCTGCTCTGTGCTGACTCCCAGCATGACCTGAGATGGGGATCTGCCCCTGTCTGCTTCACTGACAGAGATGTGGCTTAGAGGCCAAAGGTCATCTTCCTCCCAGCTCATCCCCTCTGGGGAGCATCTGAAGCCAGTGTCTTGCTCCTTTGGGTACCTTGGTTGTGCCCTGGCCCTGGAAGTACTCTCTCCATCTTGGGGTTGAGGCCAGGGAGGCTGGGGCTAGATGTCCCCAGTGAGGTGAGTTGCTGGGCCCTAGATTATTCTCTGTGCTCCTGGCTCTGGGCCATGTGGCTGGTTACCCTTTCCCTGGGTATCCTTTAAAAGGCCAATTTTATATAATGTATATTCGACCACAATTAAAAACAAAAGGCCAATCTCACTCTGCCTTGTGTCCATTTCTCCCTCCTCCAGGCCTGGGAAGTAAACAAAGGGACCAACTGTGTGACCACCTACCTGGCAGACTGTGAGACTCAGCTGTCCCAGGCTCCACGGCGGGGCCTGCTCTATGGCGTCCCTGTGAGCCTCAAGGAGTGCTTCAGCTACAAGGTGTGCCCTGCCGCCTCTCGGGCTCCAACCCCACGCCCCTGTCCCTGCCAGCCGGCTCTGCCTCCTGGGTTACCCCCGGCCCTCAGAGGAAGTATCAGGTCCCGAGGCCTTGGGAGGGACCCTGGGTGTGTGCCCCACCTTGGCCTGTGAGATGGCGGGAGGAGGGGACCCTCTGCCGCTGAAGGGCCCCTGAGCCGTCAGCCACACCCCTCTTGGTGCCTGTCCCTCCCTCTAGGGCCAGGAATCCACGCTGGGCTTGAGCCTGAACGAGAACGCGCCCGCAGACTGTGACAGTGTGGCGGTGCAGGTGCTGAAGCTCCAGGGCGCTGTGCCCTTCGTGCACACCAACATCCCTCAGTCCATGTTCAGGTGGGCTTGGGTACAGGGTGGGGGCAGGGGCACTAGCACCAGTGTGACCTGGGCTGACCCGTTCCTGCTTTCCCCAGCTATGACTGCAGTAACCCCCTCTTTGGCCAGACCTTGAATCCGTGGAAGTCCTCCAAAACCCCAGGTGGCTCCTCCGGGGGTGAAGGAGCCCTCATTGGGGCTGGAGGCTCCCCCCTGGGTTTAGGCACTGACATTGGAGGCAGCATCCGCTTTCCCTCCGCCTTCTGTGGCATCTGTGGTCTCAAGCCCACGTCAAACCGCATCAGGTATGGTGTGGGTGGTGGGTGGAAGGAGACTCTGGGTCTCTTGCTGTGTGATCTTGGCCTTGTTTCCAACCTCTCTAGGCCCCAGGGAGGGATTCCCTCACTGGGGTTTTGCTGGGGGTGGGGAGCGTCCCAGCACCACTGGCTTTGGTTCCTAGTTTCCAAAGTGGTGAGAGTTCTAAGCTGCTATATGGGTTTGGGGCTGGGCAGAGGGTGACCATTTCCCGTTTCCAACATCTTGTGTTTCTTATCCAGCAAGAGTGGCCTGAAGGGCTGTGTCTATGGACAGGTAGCAGGTGAGGTCTGGGGTTCCCTCAGTGCACTGGGGTGGGGGGGGGCTCTGCCTGATCCACCTCTACCCCTGCCTCTCCGTCTCCCGGGGGCAGTGTTTGACTCTCAGGCTAGTGTAGGTCTGAGTTCCTACCTCCTTGTCTCTGCTCACACTCCTGGGCCATGGCCCAGCCCTCTCTTGGACCCAGCCCCAGAGCCCATTAGGGCAGGGTGATCTTTCTTCCTTCCCCTCCCTGCCCCCGCAGTGCGGCTCTCAGTCGGCCCCATGGCCCGGGACGTGGAAAGCCTAGCACTGTGCCTGCGAGCACTGCTATGTGAGGACATGTTCCGCTTGGACCCCACGGTGCCCCCACTGCCCTTCAGGGAGGAGGTGAGCAGGGCTGGGGATGGGCGTGGGGTTGAGTTTGGTTATTGCTGGTGCTCCTGAGCCCAGAGAGCAGCCCCAGGCAGCGTGCATAGGCCTCGGAGGCTCTGTTTCTTGAAAACCACCCCCCAGGGGTCTGAAGCCAGGCTCAGCTGCTGCTCCACAGACAGCCACCAGATGGAGCCCTTGCCCGCCTGTGGCGACTCCTGGGCTTTCAGACTGGCCTGGGAGGCCTCTAAGGAGAAAAGGTCCCACCTTCTGGGCTCAGCCGGCTCTGAGAGACAGGACTCCCTTCTCAGCCCAAGAACCACTTGAGGGAGAACTAGGGTGTTTCTTGGCAGGCAGGAGATCTAGGCTGGGTGGTGTGAGCTCCCCCTCCTTGGCAGAGGATATTCTAACAACCCAGTGGTTTCAGAAGCCCTTCCTGAGAGGGGGGAGAGGACGAGATGAGGTCCCTGTGTTGCGGTCTGGAACGAATTATCATGGGAGCCAGGACTTGCAGTCTTGAAACAGGCAGTGGAGGGCCTCGACTCAGGGGACAGGTAACCTGGGTTCTGGACCTAGTGTTGTCAGTCTGCACGGGGTGGACTGGGACGAGTCCCAGCCCCACTCCAGGCCCCTTTGCCTATCTCCCTATCTAGACCTGAAGCCTCAGTTTCATATATCGCCAGTGGGAATCCTCATCTGTTCCCCTTCTGCAGAGTGATTATGAAGGGGTTTTGTGAAAGGGTCAGATGCAGAAAGGGCCGGCCTCTCAGGCACTCGGTTTTTGGGGGATCCAGGCTGCAACCTCTCAGCTGTGTCTGGGGCTGAGTAGCTTCTCTGATCTCTGGGAGCCCAACTTTGGGCCGCTCTCTCTTCACCTGATTCTGACTCCAGGGTTTTGCCCCCCCCCAGGTCTACACAAGCTCTCGGCCTCTGCGTGTGGGGTATTATGAGACCGACAAGTATACCATGCCCACCCCGGCCATGCAGCGGGCCGTGCTGGAGACGAAGCAGAGCCTTGAGGCTGCTGGCCACACGGTATGGCCGTGGGGACCCTGAAGTCCTGGTATGGCTCCTCCTTCAGGGAAACCTTCCTGGTACCCGTGGCTGCCACCGGTCCCCAGCATCCTTTCACCCCGATTGCTTTGTGATTGGGCACACCCCGATTGCTTTGTGGTTGGGCACAAAGCGATGTTGCTGTGGGACCCGTGGATAGAGGGCTGATCATGAGCGTTAGGTTTTGTGATCGATGGTGAACTCAGCCCTGTGCTGGCGATGAGTGAGCGCTGCCCTGGGAGGCTCCCGTCAACCACAGACCATGGTGCATGGCTGTCCAGAGGATGGTGGGCCAATGGGTTTTAGTCTGCTTATCTGAGACAAGTTTATGTGTGGCTTGACTTCTCTCACGATGTGCGTTTTAAGGGAATGTTCATGGGTCAGTAAGGCGGCCTCTGTGGCTCCATTGAGGGCTGCCATGGCAGCAGGGTTGGTCCGGTCCCTCCTCAGGGCTGCCTGGGCAGCATGGGGATCGTGGGAGCCAAGGGTTTCTAGGTGTGGGGGCCTTACACCCCTCAATCTCGCAGCTGGTTCCCTTCCTGCCAAGCAACATACCCCATGCTCTGGAGACCCTGTCAACCGGTGGGCTGTTCAGTGATGGAGGCCACAGCTTCCTGCAGAACTTGTGAGTGATGTTGGACTTTGGGGTCTGGGGTGGGGTCTGGGACGTGGGTAGACCCAGGGAGAGCAGCTGGGTCCTGTTACTCACAGGAGAAGATGGGGGAACAGGCCTCAGTTGAACACAAAGAAGGTCAGAGCATTCTGGGCGGGGACCTCACCGCCCCTCTAACTATGCAGATGGAGCCTGGAGATCCCTGGCCAGGGGCACTTTAGAAAGGTACCGGCTCAAGGGGAGGCTGGATTGAGCAGAGCTCAATTGATGAAAACTCATTGGGAGGTAGGGGGTGGGCAGGGGAGTTGCTTGTCTGTTTGGGAAAGATTGAGAGACAAGGGCAGGGTGAAGCAAGACGGGAGAGGTCTAGACATCATGCTGTGACTCCAGGCTCTTCTGACTTGAGCTGGACCTGCCTTTTGAGTAGTTTCCTCTTCTGTAGAGTGGGTGGGTTGGATCAGACCTACTTTAAGGGACTTTGCAGTTTATTTTTTTATAGCTCTTTTTTTTTTTAAAGATTTTATTTATTTATTAGAGAGAGAGAGAGAGAGAGATCCTAAGCAGGGGGAGAGGCAGAGGGAGAGGGAGAAGCAGGCTCCCCGCTGAGCTCCCCACAGGCGCCCCAGAGCTCATGTTTAGAGAAGCTGTTTCCACTTAGAAGCTTTCAGTCCTTAAGGGTTGACAGGGGTGCAAGACCTCTGAAGGTACCCCCTGCTGATGTGCCTGGGCTGACTGGACCTCCTTTTATAGCTGACTTTGGTCCAGGCTTCAGCAGGAGGGGCTGCCCCTCACTCTGGCCCTGGGAATGAAGCCCTTGGGTCAGCCTCCTGAGACCTTTCTCTGAGCTCTAGAGCTAGAGACAGCCTCAGAAATAAGAGTCATGGCAGCTCCACTTGTCTCTCTAGGCTGGCATCGGCATCAATAGGGGATGCCCTCAGTGTCAGGCCCCGGCTGGGGAAATGTTGCCGTCACTGAGTCCTTATTGCTTTGAGCTGAGTGTGCCAGGGAGGGAGACGTGGAGTCCTGCCTTGGAAGCTCCAGTGGGTATGGAGTGGAGTCCAGGCGTTCCAAATGATCAGCAGAAACAAGTCACATGTCTAAAAGGAGGCAGATAGGGGCTCCTGCATGGCTCAGTCTGTTAAGTGTCTGCCTTCGGCTCAGGTCAGGATCCCAGGGTCCTGGGATCAAGTCCCATGTCAGGTTCCTTGCTCAGCGGGGAGTCTGCTTCTCCCTCTACCCTCCCCCCACTCATGTGTACTCTCTCTCTCGATCTCTCAAATAAATAAAATCTTTAAAAAAAAAAAAAAAAACTAAGTAAAAGGAGGTAGATAGGGGTGCCTGGCTAGCTCAGTCCATACAGCATGGGACTCTTGATCTTGGGGTTGTGAATTCGAACCCCACATTAGGTATAGAGATTACTTAAAGAAAAAAAAGAAAATCTTTAAAAAAAATGAAAGGAGGCAGATGAAGGGGTTAGAGACCAGTGGTTGCCAGAGTCTGGTGAGGAGGGAGTGGAGGTGGTGTCACGGAATAGATGACACCGAGCTGGGGGTGCTGTGGGTGGGGGCGAGCCAGGAGGGAGGCCTGGGGAGGGAGTGCTGGATTGGACCCTTTGTCTCCCAGCAAAGGTGATTTCGTGGACCCCTGCTTGGGGGACCTGATCTCCATTCTGAAGATGCCAGGGTGGTTGAAAGGACTGCTGGCTCTCGTGCTGAAGCCTCTGGTGAGGGCCCAAGGAGCGGAGGGCTGCAGTGGGCTGGGACGGAGCCTCTGGGTCCCTTCCCATCGCCTTAGCCTCTCTTGGTCTGGGCCCGCATGGCCTCCTCTTCTCGCCAGCCCCTCCCCAGACTCCTGTCCTCTCCCCATGCCCTGCGACCTCCAGCCAGCCACGTGCTGAAAGAGGTGCTGCCTGGGGACCTGGGGGAGGGCCAGAGGGAGGAGGCACAGGTAACGTGGCCTGAAGAAGACTGTTGTCTGCACTCGGAGCCCAGGACTGACTTACTGACGCTGCGTTTGTCCTCTGGCAGCTCCCAAGGGTGGCAGCTTTTCTTAACAGCATGAAGCCCCGGTAAGGACATTTCCTGTGCCTAGACCCTGACCCCCTCTTCCCTGTCCCCTGACCTGGGGTTAAGTGGTTTCTGATGGGAGGAGCTGAGGGAAGTCGCTTCTGCGGCGGGTCCAGCCGGGGGTGGGGGGCGGGGGGGGGGGGGAGGGGTGGGGGGGGGGGCAGCCTCTGCGGCTTTCAGATGGGACCTTGAAGTTTGTCTTCTCAGGGTCCAGGTCTGGCTAGAGAGGAGGGGCTTGAAGGAGATCACGGGATGAGACAGGGTGGGGAGGAGCAGACCCCGCGAGGTGAGGGGAGAAAGGACCAGGAAGGGAAGCATCAGGGAGGCCCAAGGGAGAGGGGGTTCCTGGGGAACCTGTGAGAGACGCTGCTCTTGGACGTCTGACGGGAACTGAGCTGCACTGGGTCCTGCCGCCCCCTCATGGCCTGGGTGGGAACACCATAAATGGCCTCATTTTTAGGCCCTGACATCCTGCAGACTTGCCCCTTCTCTCACTGCCAGGCATTTAGGACCTTTGACAGCTCTGGTCTCTCTGGTATCCTAAGGGTCATTGGGAATCAGGCCTGACCTGGGCCTGGCTCTGCTGTAAAGTAACTAAGTGACACAGTCTAAATCCCTCTTGGGGCGTGATTTTCTCCACAGGACATGAACTTAGGGATTTGAACTTCTTTCCGTGCTACTTCCCTCTTGGAGCTCCCCTAGTTGAGAAGGGTCCATGGAGGAGGGAGATCTGGGAGGTATTAAGAGTAGGGGTCTGATGTTGCTACTCCCCACGGCTGTGACCTTGATGGGCTGTGACCTCCTTTCCTCTGCCCAGGTCGGCTGGCAAGCTCTGGGAACTGCAGCACGAGATCGAGGTGAGGCCAGGGCCCCTAGACTAGAGTCGGGGGGTGTATGGGGTGGAGCTGGACAGGGCACCTGCCAGTGGGATCTCTTAGCCATGGGTCCCCTGGGCCCCTGGAGTGGCCTGTCATTCCACCTTCCACTCCCTGGACTGGTCTGCTTGGGCCCTGCTCTCTGATCCTCACTTGCCTGGGTGCTCACCTTGGGGGCTGAGTCAGTCTGAGGCTCCTGTTCTGGATGCCTCTCTGCCCTGCCCCCGCCCCCCTGCCCCAGTGCTGTTGGGAACTATGTGGCCTTGCCCTGGCAGGAAAAATGATGTCTGCAGTTCATGTGGGAGGTAGAACAATGGAGGCCTCCCGGAAGCAGCTGTGCCTGTGTGCCCTGAGGACCTCCATCCCAGTGTGGCTTAGTCCAGCTGCAGAAGCAGGTGCTGGGGCCAGAGCCACTCCGGCTACAGTCCCTGCATTGAAGAGTCCGAGCGAGGCGCTGGGTCTGAGGGCTTCCCCTGGTGTGCTGGCATCCTCCCAGGTGTACCGCAACTCCGTGATTGCCCAGTGGAGGGCGCTGGACCTGGACGTGCTGCTCACCCCCATGCTGGGCCCTGCTCTGGACCTGAATGCCCCAGGCAAGGCCACAGGTGAGGTCTGCTGTCCCAGCACACACCTCGGACACTCCCACCTGCTTCTCCTCTTCTGTGAGTTCAGCCCAGTGCCTGCAGGCTGCTGGGAAGTACAAGAGGAGTCTTGGCGGAGGGCTGCACCCCTTGGGGAGGGTCCCGCCCTTGGGGGCCTCACAGTCCGAACTGGCTGGAGAGATGGGAGTCATCTGGGATGTTCTGGGAGGGAACAGGCTCCCTGTCCTCAGCACCACTGAAGTGGGAGGTCTTGAGTTATGGAGCCTACAGTTTGGGGAGGTGGGGTTTAAAGTCCTGGTGGGGTTTAGAAAAGCCAAGAAAAATAGGAACAACGGTCCAGGTGGGGAAGCTTCCTGGGCAGAGGCACAGGGCAAGCTCCAGCAGGCTCTCCAGCCTGCCGGGAATCTGGATTCCTGGGCTTTGTCCCCCACTCAAGTCTGGGCTCTGGGAGAGAGCCTCTCCCTGCCCGTGGGGGCAGGGCACCATCTCCCAGGGCCTTGCGGAGGGTCGCAGGGTCGCCTCTGGCGGCTCTAGCTGCCTGTGGTGCCTTTCAGCGGCAGTCAGCTACACTCTGCTCTACAACTGCCTGGACTTCCCCGCGGGGGTGGTGCCTGTCACCTCGGTGACCGCAGAGGATGAGGCCCGGATGGAGCATTACAGGGGCTACTTTGGGGATATCTGGGACAAAGCACTACAGAAGGTGAGGCCACAGGGCCTGGCCTGGCCCCTGGGCGCCCCCTCCCTGGGACGCCCACCCATACCCAACTCTGGCTGCTGGGGAGGAAGCAGCATAAGCATGAGCAGTCCTTGCCTCCCCTCCCCTCCCCTCCCCTCCCCATTAAGTAAGCGCTGTACCCAACCTGGGGCTCAAACTCACAACCCCAAGATCAAGAGTTACATGCTCTTCTGAGTGAGCCAGCCAGGTGCCCCCTTGCCGGCCCTCCTTGATGCGAGACCCCCCAAAAGACTGCAGCCTGGCTCTGCTGTGCTGCCCCTCCTCTCCAGCTGGGGTGCGTCCTGGTCCCTGGTGGGGGCCTGCCTCCACTGCCTTCCACCCTGATGCCTGTGTCCCCTGCAGGCCATGAAGAAGAGCGTGGGGCTGCCTGTGGCCGTGCAGTGCGTGGCTCTGCCGTGGCAGGAAGAGTTGTGTCTGCGGTTCATGCGGGAGGTGGAGCGACTGATGAGCCCCGAGAAGCGGCCATCCTGATTGCTGCCTGCCCGCCGCCTGGCTCCGGAGGGCCCAGACCCTCTCAATCTGCACCCAGCCTCGTGCGGTTGTAGCGGCCACCCTGGGAGGGAATGTTCGGCCGGGGACAGAGGCCTCCATGGCCCCCTCCCCCAATCCCCTACGAGAAGCACAAACCCCCTGAGTCTGGACCTTGCTCCCCATTCTGGTCCCCTCCCTCTGCCCTGACACACCCCCCACCCCGCCATGTGGCAGCCGGTGGGTAAGATATGGGCAGAGACCCATTAACAGTCAAGAAATGTTTCTAGTCTGTATATTTTCTGGCTGGCATTGTTAGGGCACTGGGGTTTGAGCCCTACTCTGGCCTTGGCAGTCTCCTGGTTCCCAACCCCCACAGGAGCCTTGCAGCCCCAGCACCTCCCCCTCCCCTGCTCCCCCTGCTTAGACTAAGACCTTCTTCGCTAGGCATTGCCCTTCTCTTCTTTCTTTGCTCCTTTCCCTCTGCCGAGGATGCCCTTTCTGTTCCTCTGCCATTAAATCCTTTGAGGCCCTCCTCAGATCCCTCTTTCTCGAGAAGGCCTTCCCTCCTTCCTCTGAGCCCTGGAATAGGTGGGCTCTTTCTTTCCAGTCTGTCCTGTGTGGTGGGCATCTGTGGGAGGGTTTGCCTTTCTCAGGACACTGGCTCTCCTTGACTGCAGGGACCCTAATGCTGTATCTTTGTCCTTAGTGGCCCGCACAGGGCTAGGCTCAGGGCAGCTGGGAGTCTGGAGTGCTGGCCGTGACGTGGCGCTGTTGGGGGTGAGGAGGCCCTCGGCCTCGGGAGCGAGGGTGAGACAAGGCCATCTGGTAGAGAGCACTCACAGGACCCGCCAAGGACTAGATTGTTCTAGGAAGGCTTCCTGAAGGAGGAGGACCTGGGTTGAGTGTAGAAGGTTCCCAGAAGCTGAGATGGGAGTAAGGACATCCCAGGGAGAAGGAGCCATACATCCAGAGACCATGATGAGTTCAGTAGACAGAGGTGTTGAATGGGCAAAGGAGAAGCAGCAGAGATGTAGGTGGAGGCCAAATCAAGGTGGACTTTGGGCGTCAGTTCAGGAACTTGAATCCTGTCTCAGGGCAGTGGGGGGGCTCTTAAAGGATCACACAGGTGCGGGGCAGAGAGTGAACTGGGTAGAACAGAGCCTGGAGAGGGGCAAGGAGGCTGCCCCGTGATCCTAGTCTGGGGAAGGGGGCCTGGGGCCTGAGCTAGGGCCATGGCCCAGGAGTAGGGAGAGAGGTGGTTTGGGAATTGACAGTTGGGATGGAAGTGAGCAGTCTCTGCTCAGAGTCTCACCATTGCCCCATCTGCCAGCCTCCCTCTTACACGACTGCATTGCCTGTGACTAATCTGGGGGCTTCTTGGTCCCCTTAAGCAAAGCTTACTCTCCCCTGGCCCCAGCCCTAGCTCCCCTGTTTACTGTAAAGGATGTTTCTGACCCTCGGGTCGGGCATGCCCCTGGTTCTACCTGGCTCTCTTCAAATTCTTTTCAGGGCAGGCTGCCTTCCCAAGTCTTCCTTCTCCTTCCTGACTTTCCTACTCCTTCAGAGGGGCATTTCCTTCTGGGTTACATGCCCAGTGGCCCCTGCACTGTCTGACAGTGGTGTCCCCACCTCAGTGGGATCGGTTTCAGGGTAGACGCGAAGGGCTTATCAGAGGGCCTAACCTAACACGGACACCTAGATTGGCTGGCCAGGTCACTGAACTTTGCCCAGATTCCTTGTAACTACTGTGTCATTTTGCCTCATATCATTCCATAGAATCATCTGTACCTGCCCCACCCCCCAGCTTCCTACTCCTGCCCTGTTTCTCTTTGGTTACTGATATCCTTGTGCTTTTTTTTTTTTAATTTTAAAAGGACTTATTTATTGGGGGGGCACCTGGGTAGCTCAGTTGGTTAAACGTCTGCCTTTGACTCAGGTCATGATCCCAGGGTCCTGGGATTGAGCCCAGAGTCTGGCTCCTTGCTCAGCAAGGAGTCTTCTTCTCCCTCTCCCTCTGCCCCTTCCCCCCACTGATGCTTCCTCCCCATAAACAAATAAAATCTTAAAAAGATTGCTTATTTTAGAGAGAGAGTGCACATGCATGAGTGGGGAGGGGTGGGCAGAGGGGGAGGGAGAGAATCCTCAAGCAGGCTCCCCACTGAGCAGGGAGCCCAACGGGGTGGGAGGGAGTGGGGGAGGGCTGGATCCCAGGACCCTGAGATCATGACCTGAGCCAAAATCAAAAGTCAGACGCTTGGGCGCCTGGGTGGCTCAGTCGTTAAGTGTCTGCCTTCGGCTCAGGTCATGATCCCAGGGTCCTGGGATCGAGTCCCGCATCGGGCTCCCTGCTCAGCGGGAAGCCTGCTTCTCCCTCTCCCACTTCCCCTGCTTGTGTTCCTGCTCTCGCTGTGTCTCTCTGTCAAATAAATAAATAAAATCTTAAAAAAAAAAAAAAGTCAGCCGCTTAACTGACTGAGCCACCCGGGCGCCCCAATATCCTCATGCTCTTAGACGCAAGGCTGTGGGGTGGGGGTGCCTGTCCTCTTGCCTTCCCTGCTTCACCGCTTCACCCTTCGAGCCCCAGCGTGGCCTTGCCCAGCCCTGTGCTCACCGGTGCTCGAGCTCTACCAAGCCTGACTCCCATCCTGGAGAGGCTCTGGGGCTTACGGGGGTGGTTGGACATTAACACAAACACCTCTGCTCCCTGGGGGATCAGGGCTTGGGGAAAGGTTAGACGAGGAGGCAAATGATGCCGAGGGGTGGGGGAGGTGGTCGCTGTGGCCGGTGAGCGGCCACTGTGCTCCGTCTCCATCAGTACGCTAGCACTTGAGTCCACGCCACCTGCCCGTCCTCTGGACAGTGCTGTGACCTAACTGGGCTTCCCTGCCTCCATCCGCACCTGTTTCCCAGTCCACTTTCCGTGCAGTCGCCAGAGGGAGGCTTTGAAAGTGTACATCAGATCGAGTCACGTGTTTCAAGGCCCGATGGCTTCCCATCTCACCCAGAATAAAATCCAGTCTCCTTGTGTCTTACGATGCTCTGAGGGACATGGCCCTTGCTTACCTCTAGAGCCTCCTCTAGCGTGTCTCTTCCTCTCATTCATTATGCTCCAGCCACATGAGCACCTTTCCGTTTCTGGATCATCTCCTGCTAGTGGCACCTGCTTCAGAGCTTTTGTGTTATATGGGTCCCCTCTGCTTGGAACACTTCTTTGTGCTTCTGTCCATACTCCAAAGCAGGGGCCGTGTCTTAATAATAGAATCCAACATCTGTTAGCCTGTGGAGTTGATAACCCATTATCCCATTGGAAAAAATGGGCATTATTACTTCCATTTTATAGGTGGGGAAACAAGTTTAGAAACAGTTGCTAATTTGGCCAAGGCCAAAGACTTGCACAGAGATTTGAAGCCACTAAGCCAAACTTCAGATACTTTGCTCATCTGCACAATCATCCCAAGAACATGCACTAAACATCCCAGGGTATCAGGTTCTGGGCTCGGTGACCACAAACACTGGAGACAGAAGCAAGGTCCATTCACGGGCTCCTCTGCTAGGTGTCTATCTCCAGGAGGTTCTGTCAGATCATCGTCCACCCTCCCTTCCTCTCCCTGGGGTTGCGATCATTGGAGTTTAGGACACTGTGAGAATACCTGCTATTTGTGCCTGTTAAGCAGCATCTTTTAAGGTCATCCCAGGGCTTTAGCCTATTGAGAGCCTTTGGGATCCTGGCCCACTCTGCTCTGCCTCTCAGCTTGTCCATCCACAAGTATGAGCACTAGACCTCTTTAACTTCATCTAAGTCACCAATAAATATATTGATCGGATCAAGGCCAAGGAAAGACCCTGGGGTGTGTCACTCCAGGCACACACCAGTGCAATCTGATCTGCCACACCCTTAAGAGACACCCACATAATCAAGTCCAGAACCTACCAGCCCGCCTGGGCTGCCCCCTCCTCAAGTTTCCCACCACAGAGTTTGGGAGTGGTAACCCTGGGTGTCTTAGGCCGGGGAGGCCATTTGGGGTCGGGGTGCGTGGGATTTGCTCTCATGTGTCCAGTACCCACCAAGGTGCCTGGTACTCAGTAGGTATCCAGTGAAGGCTTGTTTTTTGTTTGTTTTTTTTTTGAGAGAGAGTGAGTGGGGAAAGGGGGAGCAGAGGGAGAGGGAGAGAGAGAATCCCAGGCAGTCCTCACGCCCAGTGCAGAGCCTGACACGGGGTTTCATCTCACAACCCTGAGATCACGACCTGAGCTGAAATCAAGAATTAGATGCTTAACCAACCGAGCCACCCAGGCACCCCCTCTTTTTTTTTTTTTTTATGAGAGAGACTTAAGCGTGTTAAATGCTGCTAGGAAGGAGCCAGCAGAAACACGTAGAGGAAAAGGTGGGAATGAAGGGCTCAACCCACCTATCATTCCTCCATTTAAGAAGTATTACTGTGGCTCAGTCGGTTAAGTGTCTGCCTTCGGCTCAGGTTATGATCCCAGGGTCCTGTCTTGAGTCCCACATCGGGCTCCTTGCTCAGCAGGGAAGCCTGCTTCTCCCTCTGCCTGCCACTCCCCCTGCTTGTTCTCGCTCTCTCGCTCTCTCTCTCCCTTTCTCTCTCTCTCTGACAAGTAAAGAAATAAAATCTTAAAAAAAAAAAAAGTATTACCAAGCACCTGCTCTGTGCCAGGCATTTTGAAAAGGGCTGACAAGGTCCTTGCTTTTTTTTTTTTTTTTTTAAGATTTTATTTATTTATTTGACAGAGAAAGACATAGTGAGAGCAGGAACACAAGCAGGGGGTGTGGGAGAGGGAGAAGCAGGCTTCCCGCCGAGCAGGGAGCCCAATGCGGGGCTCGATCCCAGGACCCTGGGATCATGACCTGAGCCAAAGGCAGCCGCTTAACGACAGCCACCCAGATGCCCCAAGGTCCTTGCTTTTATGGAACTTACTTTCTAGGGAGGGAGGTAAGGAATAAGTAAACGATAATTTCAGCTAATGGTAAGTGCGGATGAAGAAATAAAATGGGGTGATGTGCTAATGGAGGGGTGCAACTTGAGAAAGGATGTAGCAAGATTTAGGGTGCTGTAAGGGGCAGGGATGCTAGATTTCCTGGGGGAGCTGAGCCATCAGGGGAGAGCCAGGGTTCAGCGAGGGAGGCCTTGGTATGGGGGAAGGAAATGGTCTGAAAAGAGGAGGAAGGACCTGGGGAGTTTGCCAATGAGAGGGGCTAGTTCCAGAGACCTGTTGGTGAGGACACAGAGTATTAGAGGGTGGATGACCTTGGGGTTACCCTTTGGGTTGTGACCAACAGGTCAATTGCTAACTCCACATTTGGCCCTGGGCAACCCTCAGGTGCTCAGACTCAACATTGCCAACCACAAACATCTCCTTTCCACCAATTCTGCTTCCAGTGTCCCAGTCTCAAGGGCGGAACCACCACTCCTGGTCCCAATGACTGGCAGCCTCAGTTGTGATGGGTCGCTCCTCTCTTCCCTCTGAGACAGGACTGGGCCAGAAGATCCAGCAAGAGCCAGAGGGCTCCCAAACCAGTCCCTCCTGCTCTGCTGCCCCGTATCTTCCCGTTGTTTCTGCTCCTCCTCCAGGGAGCCATTTGCACCTCCTCACCTCCCTAGGCTCATACTCCTCTCCACTGCTCCCCCGGCCTATAGGGAGCTCCTGGAACAATGAGAAGATTGGAAGGGAGAACCAATCGACTGGGGAGGCTGGAGTCCCAGGATCCCAAGTGTGGCCTTGCGTTACAGTCGGGAATGAGAGCCTAGTGAGGGTAACAGAGGCAGGGGTGAGGGCTCTGCCTGCCTGCCTCGGTCCTCACTTCCTGGCATCATTTCCCCTGGGGCTGATGCCTGCTCCCGCCAGGGTCCCTGCTTTCTTCTCTGCCTGGGCCCCAGACGCCCTCCAGAGTGAGCCTGTTCTGTCCACCTCTATATAGCCTGTGAACTGTGTTCAGGGGGTGGGCAATTATCCTGGAAGAAACGGGAACCCCCAGGGACAACTCCATTAGGAACTGCCACAGGTCAGACCAGGGTTCTGGTGGGGTGTTTGAGGGGCAGGATGGGGGAGAAGTGTGTGAGGAGGTCCGATCAGAGCCTGGTCCCCTGCCCACCTGCAGGCGTGGGCTCCTCTTCAAGCTGGTCTCTGCCCAAGCCTCTTCCTCTGCATTGCCTGAGGCACGAGGGCTTTTGTCTCCAGGAAGTCCAGGTAGGGCCAAGAACTAGGTGGGAGGAGTTTGGCTTCTGCGCCGTGCAGGGTCATGCTGGCTTCGGCCCCTTGATGCGCCAGCTGTGGGAGGGCGCTCGAGCATATAGCTGGCCAGTCAGCAGGCAGGGCCCTCGAGGAAACAGTTGCTCTATCCACACAGGTTCCCTGATGCCTGGGGTAGGTTGGCTGCTGGTACTCCTGCTGGCCCTGCTGGGGGCTGCCCTGCTCTTCTGGCAGCATGTTCCAGCACGAAGCAAGATCCCCGGGGCACAGAAGCGTAGGGGGTGGCACTGCAGCAGTTGGAGGCCCTGGCCCAGCGTCTCCGGCAGCAGGTGAGCGGACGCCTCTCCCGGAGGCCCCCCAGCCCTCCATCCCAATAGGCGGGTCTCACCTCAGGACCACTGCCCCATCCCCTTCAGAAGACAAGGAGCCTGGGGCGGCGGACAGCCCCCTACCCCCAGCTCTCCCCATGCTGGCTTTTTGTATTGCTGTCAGTTCCTCCTCCATCCATGTACTTCCAACCCAATGAGATTGGGGGCCGTGGGTTTTCTTTGTTCTCCCAGTGCCCGCACGGGACTCAGTAACGTGGCGGGTGTTCACTCGAGCTTTTTGTTGAAATAAGATAGGCGCCCCAGGGGGGCGCCTGGGTGGCTCAGTGGTTAAGCGGCTGCCTTCGGCTCAGGTCATGATCCCAGAGTCCTGGGATCGAGCCCTGCATTGGGCTCCCTGCCCAGTGGGAAGCCTGCTTCTCCCTCTCCCACTCCCCCAGCTTGTGTTCCCTCTCTCTCTCTCTGTCAATTAAATAAATAAATAAAATCTTAAAAAAAAAAAGGAAAAGAAAAGAAATAAGATAAACTGATGGAAGCAATTGGAGGCAGGAGGTCTTCTTTCAGGTCTCTTTTAGCCCCTGAGTACTCCCACACCCCACTGACACAGGAACCCGGGTCTACACGTTCTCCTTCCCATCCCCCTGCCACCGGGTTCTGCAAATGTTTGAGAGCACCTGATACATGCAAAGCACAGGGTGGTCACTGGAGATGGGGTCCTCCCAGGAAGCTCTGTGTCTTAAAAGGGACTTTTGACAGCTTAGGTGGGGACATTTCAAGGCACTGGGTCAATCATCGCGGCTGGGCTGGGACTTGAAGGTGAAGGGACTGAGCTGTGGGTGTCGCAGCAGAACCTGCCTAGAGTAGCAGAGAGCAGGGTGGGAAGGAGAGGCAGCCCACCTTCCATTGTGTTTGAGGTCTGCTGTGGGGCCTGGAAGACGTGACAGCCCCTTCCTGGGCTCCCCAACTGCCCTACGAGGGGTGGGCTCATGGTATCTTAGGGTCCCCAACTGTGGTTGATGGTGGCAGACTCCCTGGGAGCTCTGGGAGTGGGGGCTGGGGATAATGCCTGAGGTGCTATCCCCATGCTCTGGAGCTCCTGAATGTCCTCTGCCGTCCCCTGGATGGTGATTGATGGCCCCAAGGGGCAGCTTCTCTGCCCGAGCTGCTGCAGTTCCTGAGAATGTGTATTAATATTAATTGGGGCTAATTAGTTGGATAAATCAATCTGCCCCCAGAGAGCAGCTGCCCCTCCCTGGTTGGTGAGCAAGAAATCTGAGCTAACGGGGTTGCTGTGGTGAATCAGTGTGATGGAGAGGATTCGTGTGCGTGTGTGTGTGTGTGTCTGTGTGTGCATGCACGTGCACGGTGGTGTATTTGGGTTCCTTCACTGCACACACCAGAACCTGCTTATGGGTGCCTCCTGCTGGCTTGTTATTGTGTGCTGGTTGAGTGGTGTGCCTGGCTGTGTGCTGCTTGTGTTTGGTTATGGGCTTGTGGTGTGTGTGCCTGGCTGGGTGTGTATGTGTTGTGTTACAGATGCGAGTGTGTACATCTAGACATGTGTGGCTGGTTTGGGTCTGAATGTTTGGTTGAGCATGTGCCTGTGTGGTCAGGTGTCTGACGTGTGAGGACATCTGCTTCTGTGTAGGTCTGGGCATCTGCTTGGTATATGTGTGGGCATCTGGTATGTAGAGCTCTTGGGCTGGGTACCTGGTGGGGGTGGTGTGTGTCTGCTTGGCTGGAGGAGTGGAAGGGGTGAGGTCGTCCCTGGTGTCTCCAGCTTTCCCCCAAGGCTACAGACCTCTTGGCATTCAGTACCTTATTCTCTTCCCAACAAAGCTACACAGGTCCATCCTGGGCACCTTCCCCTCTGCCAAGGATACCCTCAAGGCCTCAGGTGTCCAGCTTTATGTCCCAGGGAGGTAGGAGGCTGAGACATAGGTCAAACCCTGGCAGGGTTCAAACAAATCCAATTCAGTTCAACTTAGCAACATCTTATAAAGGGCTCCTCTGGTCTTGCCTTTTGCTGGGCCTTGGGGACAGATTCATAATCAGGATGAATCTGACATCTGACTTCAACTTGCCTTAAAGATGCTCCCGGTCTGAGTGTAGCATGGTGTGTGCATGCAAACTGTGTGTGCATGCAGAGCTATGCAAACTGTGATGGGAGGCAGCTCAGCTGAGTGTGGTGAGGGCCAAATGCCCATGGAACTATGGGACCCGGCAGGAAGGGCTTTGGTCCATCTGGAGAGGGTTGGGTGGGGAAGGCTTCATGGAGCTGAGCCTTACAGGATGTGTAGGAGTTTTCCAAAAGGAGGAAGGAAGAGGAAAGACAGTTCTGGAGAGAGAAAAGCCTGAGATAAGGCAGTGTTTCTGTAGAGCACATAGAAAATAATACTCAGAGTCCACCGGGGTAAATGGACAAGCTGCTCATGGCTGAAGGCTGCTGGCTAGGAAGCTCTGGTCACCTCAGGAGGACATAAGCCCCCCTGACGGTTAAGGTTTTGACGATATTAAACATGTTTCACAACTGCTTTGGAAACATTAATAATACATCAATTAACTAACAACTTTAAAATATATTTTCTTTGATTTTTAAACCATGATAGGAGGCAGCACCAGTGAGTGTGGAGAAGGCCAGATGGGGCTGTGGAGCCGTGGGACGTGGCAGGAGGGGGATTTGTTCTAAACCAAAGTATATGTTAAAATGACTTGAAAGTGAAATAAGTTGAGGCTCAGTTCTTCTATCAACTTATCCTAATAATTTCCAAGTGATCTGTTAATTTATAGAAAACTTGTGGGGATCTTTTGATGTGGCTCACATCTTCGGAAGATTTCCCTATCTTTCAAAGCTCTCCCAATAAACCAAGAGTCATTAGGTGACTTGTAGTCTCATTAAATAGAAACTTTCTGTCGACATCATTGATGTCACTCCTTGTATTGAGTCCTTGCTTCGCTTCTGCCAAACCTGTAGCAATTATACTCACAATCCTCTAGCTGTTCTAATGCTGAGATTCTATTAATCAAGCATCTCTGTTGTCAGCTAAGTCATAAACATTATTATTAGAATGCCATCATAAGGGACACCTGGGTGGCTCAGTCGGCTAAGCGGCTGCCTTCGGCTCAGGTCATGGTCTCAGGGTCCTGGGATCGAGCCCCACATCGGGCTCCTTGCTCAGCAGGGAGCCTGCTTCTCCCTCTGCCTGCCGCTCCCTCTGCTTGGGCTCTTGCTCTCTCTCTCTCTCTCTCTCACTCTCTCTCTGGAAATAAATAAATAAAATCTTAAAAAAAAATAGTCTATCTTAAAAAAATAAAAAAGAGTCGTCCAACCAACTACACCACCCAGGTGCCCCTGATGCATCTATTTTTTAAAAAAACTCCTTTGTGCCTTAACATCCTCATCTCTACAATGGGGTGATGATTATAATTATAGTACTCGAGCGAGTTCATAATGTTTACAGTGGTGCCTGGTACACAGCAAGCACTACCCAAGTGAGACCTTTCACTTTATTTTTTATTTTTATTTTTTATTAACATATAATGTATTATTTGTTTCAGGGGTAAGGTCTGTGATTCATCAGTCTTACACGATTCACTAGCTCTCACTGTAGTAATGATAAAACTAATGTTATCCTTGCTGGGCAGGCGTTTGGTGAGTTTCGATGAATTTGTTCTATTACGGAAGGGACACTAACTGGGCTGGTGGCTGTATTACTGGGCCCGTGGCAGCCCCGCCCAGCCCACCAAGTCACTGGAGTGCCTGCCATGCCAGCAAAGGGGCAGTCCCAGCAGCCGCCTCCAGTGGCCATGAGCTCCCTCTGCTTGCTCTCCCCAGCTCCCTGAGAGGCTTCCATTTTTACAAGTGGCCATGTGAGGACAACTGCAGGGGAGCGGTAACCTCAGGGGTCCAGATGGATACTGGGCACTTGCCCAGAGGGGTGTCATCTCTCCAGGTAGATATGTAGGAATTGGGGGCTGACAGGTAGTCTTGGGGTGTGCCTGGGGGTCAGCATGTGCTGGGATGGTCCCTGGAGGGTCCTACTGGGGCTCCTTAGGGCTGGGGGGAGCAGGGCAAGCGATGAGCTCAAGCTGGCTCTTCAGAGTCCTTGAGGGAATCAGGGGCTGTGCCTTGAGGGTCCCTGCTGGGCCGGGCATTAACCTTTTACCTGCTGGACTGTGAAGAGAGGGCAGAGTCCCATGGCAGGGGCTAGGGCAGCTGGGGGTGGTGGGAAACCTGTGGGAGTGGCTTTTTGCTAAGTGACTCAGAAGGATTTCCTTTTAGCCACAATGCAGCCATTGAGGTGCATTCTAGCCAGTTGCCCACTCTATTCTAGAGGGATCCATGTCTGGGCCCTTCTGAAAGTCCTTGAGGCATACAGGTGGGGGAGTTCTGAGCTCAGGCACTAAGATGCCCTTCCCCAGGTCAGATCACCAGGAATGGGAAGGCTGGATAAGAAGGAAAGTTGGGATGTTGGGGTGCCCCCCTGAAGGCAAACCCTACAGAGATGAACCTCACTTCCATAACCCCTGAGTCCCAAAACATGCAGATAGAGTCACGCCCACTGCCGTTGTGCCCCTTCTGGGTAGCAACACAAGGGGGCAGGCCTTCCTCTGTGCCCATGGGCACTGGGGAGGCAGAGACATAGGGAACATCCAGGACTTTCATGCCAACCTGGAGACCGATCAGGAAATGTTCTTCATGCTAAGGATGAGTCCAGGAGCGTGTGCAACACATGGATGGGTGTGCAACTGCGTATCAGGTGGGGTGTGGGGAGGTGATGTTGAGTGTGTGCGAGTGGACTGGAGCGAATCAGTCATTGACCTCTGACCTCCCATCTCCACAGGAACCCTCCCTGAACCCCAAGGCCATCCTGGAGCTGCCCCTGGAGAGTCTGGCCCAGAAGCTGCAGGATGAAGAGCTCAGTCTGGAGAGCATCCTCTCTAGCTACTTAGAGGAGGTGGGGGTTGGGTCAGGAGTGGGGTGGGGGCTGTCACCTGTTGTCTTCCTCACAAGACGTGGGGGCCGGTGTAACATCATGGCGCTATAGCTGGCTTGGGAGGGGGGTACATGCCACAGTCATTGGTCATTTCTATTCTGCTCTGAGTCAGGGTGGTGGGTGACTGAGTACCCCATGTCTGGCTTCAACCTGAGCCCCTTATCTGGTCTCCTTCAATGTTGCTCAGGCCCTGAAGGTACATAAGAAGGTAAACTGCCTGATGGATTTCCTGGGCGAGCGTGAGGAGGAACTGCAGGCATTGAAGAAGCTCAAGAAGACTGAGAGAGGCCTTCTCTATGGGGTCCCCATCAGCCTCAAGGACACCTATGACTGCAAGGTGGGCCGGGTTCACATGCGTACACGTATGTGTGTGTGCCCATACGTCACTGAGCCTGTGAGCCTCTGAGTGTGTGACATTGGGCGAGTTATGTAATCAAGGATGCACAACTAGAAAGTGGCAGCTGGGAGCTGAACCCAGTAGTCTGGCTCTGACCCACCATGGTCTTCTGCCACTCGGGTGAATTCTCCTAAGGGGGCAGCACGTGTGTCTCAGAGGCCGTGGCAATGCGTGGAGTGGGAGCAGAGTGAGGAGGAGAGTCTGTCCACTGGGTGGTTGCATCCTGACCTCTGTGGGCTAATGTCACTTCCTTGCAGGGCCATGACTCTGTGTGTGGCCTGGCTCAGTTCCTGGAGAAGCCCACGGCCAAGGATGGGGTCATTGTGAAAGTGCTCAAGGCTCAGGGAGCTATTCCCTTCGTTAAGACCATCATCCCCCAGACACTGCTCAGGTCTCTGAAGTGGGTGGGCGGGGCTGGGTTTGGAGGTGGGCCCAGCACTGACAGCAACGTAAAGGCCTGACTCAGGGCAGAGGGTGAGCTGAGGGCCAGTCAAGCAGACCGTGAGGACCGAGGTTCTTGGGCAAGTCTTTCCTGCCCCCTGAGCCTCGGTTTCCTCATCTTATAATGTGTGGGTGGACTTCATCGTCTCTCCAGGCCCTCAGGCTCTGGGGTTCTGAAGAGTTTCATCTTTGTGTTTATCCTAGCTTTTCCCTCCTCTCCCATAGCATTCAGCGTGCCTACTTTTGTGAGGAACCTGTTCCCAATTCTGATAGCAGGGCTGGGGGCTCCTGTCCTTAAGTTAGGAGTTGTGGTTGGTGTCCACTCTTGGTCTTCCTTGTGGCAGTGGGCCCTCACCTCAGCCGTAAAGGAGACCAGGAGGGCTCAGCCCTGGGGAGGAGCATGCGAGCCAAAGCAGGCCCGGGGTTGACTCCTGAGGGGGTCAGTCTCTACACGGGGAGGGACGTTTCCCCAGTTAAACTTTCACCTCCCAGCCCCTTTTCTTCTGTTTCCGTCAGCTTTTATTGCAGTAACCCCATCTATGGACGGACCCTGAACCCTCTGAACTTAAAGAAGACACGTGGGGGCTCCTCAGGGGGTGAGGGAGTCATGCTGGCTCAAGGGGGTTCCATCCTGGGCATGGGGTCCGACACTGCTGGCGGCATCTGCATACCAGCCAGCTTTTGTGGGGTCTGTGGCTTCCAGACCACGGGATACTGCCTCAGGTACTTGGTGCTGGTGATGGGGGCGGGGGGCTAAGCCCAGCCTAGAGGAACAGAAGTCTGGGGGAGTAGAGGGGCCTGCTTGGCACATCAACTCTTATCCACTCACCTCAGTACTAGGGGAAGTGGCTAAAGTTAGGAGGGCTTCAAATACTCCTGCTTCAGCCCCAGATCAGCACACCATGTCTGGTATAGGTGGCAGTAGAAAAGACCTTCTACTCATTCATTAATTCATTTGTTCATTAATTCATTTGTCTTTACATCTACCCATCTACCTACCTGTTCCCTTAGTCACTCATTGGTCCATCCATTTTCCCAGCTATCCATCATTTGCCTATTCATCCACCTATGCAATCACAATCCCGGTCTCTATCCATCAATCAATTTCACTATTCATCCACCATTTAATTTATCTAACAAATATTTATTGAGTGTTTACTTTGTGACTGACACTGTACTAGGTACTTGGGATATATCGGTAAATAAAAGGACAAATATCCCAGCCCTTGACAAATTTATACACATTCTTCCTTTCATTCGTTAATTCATTCACTCATCCATTTATCTCCCCATCCATCCACTGCCTCTGTTCCTTCATCACCTATCTTTCAGCCTCCCACTCCCCCCCGCCGAGTACCTACACTGTGGTGGCCCTTGTGCTGGGGACACAGAACACTCTCAGACCTAGTACCTGCCCTTGTTGTGCTATTAGACATGCAAATGGCTGAGTCAGAAAGTGATGGGGCTCTAAGAGAGGGTCAAAGCTTGTGGGAATTCACAGGATGAAGCTGACCTTTTCTTCAACAGAGATTTATTAAAAGCCTAGACTTTAAACTTTCAGAAGCAGGGCAAGGGAAGGAAAGGCTTCCTGGAAGAGGCAGAATCTCAGCTTGGCTTTGAAGGATGGATATGCAGAGATGGCGTAGATTCTAGAAGGCTGTAAACTGTGAGCAACTTACTTTGCCTGGAGTAATATGTGTGTGTGGAAGGTCTAGAAGGGGATGCTGTGGAAGGAGCTGATACTCCAGAGCCTTGAAGGCAGTCAAAGAGATCAGACTTAATGCTGTGGGCAGTAGGGGTCACGACAGGGTTGAAGCAGCTCCTCTTGCTGGGTGCTGGTTCCTGGGGGAGTGCTTGGCTGGCTGCTACTAAAGCCTCGGCTCTCAGGCCGGTCCCTTCAAGTGCTGAGCGGGACTCTGGGTGGGCGGGGTTGTGCAGCTACTCTGGAATCGCCTCTGCTGTGGGTCAAGAAAGTCAAGAAATCAGGTAAGCTGGGCGCCTGGGTGGCTCAGATGGTTAAGCGTCTGCCTTCGGCTCAGGTCATGATCCCAGGGTCCTGGGATCGAGTCCTGCATCAGGCTCCCTGCTCCCTGGGAGCCTGCTTCTCCCTCTGCTTCTCTCTCTCTCTCTCTCTCCCTCTGTCTCTCATGAATAAATAAATAAAATCTTTGGGGAAAAAAAAAAGAAATCAGGTAAGCTGACGGTGCCCGTGGCTACACCCATTCAAAGATAACCTGTCCGCCTTCCTCCCAAGGACATTTCACTCAGCCCCTATCTCAGATTAGCCCCACCGGTGATAAAGCAATCTGAAGGGATAGCATGGCTCCCACCTGGCCTCCCCCCAAGTCCAGTGAGAAGTGCTTCCTACTATCTAGCCTTAGTCTCTCCTACTTGTCTCTTGATGTTCTGCCCCAGCTAAGATTCTCCTGTCAGGCACCGGAGATGCTTTGGCTGGTGTGCCAACTCTGCCTGTCCCCAACCCCTGACCCAGGTTGGTCCCAGGACCCTTTGACCCTGATCATGGTCTTGGGCCCCACCCTCTGAGGCCAGGCCGTGGGGGTCCCCAGAGCAGAAGGGATGAGTAGAGGCAAATACTTTCTGTTCAGTGACTACAGTGGGTGGCCCCATAGCCCGGGATGTGGAGAGCCTGGTGCTGTGTATGCGAGCCCTGCTAAGTGAAGACATGCACCGATTGGACCCCGCTGTGCCTTTCATGCCCTTCAGGGAGGAGGTGAGCTGGTTGCGGAGCAGGCCTGGAGGACTCCCACCTCTCCGCTCCTTTCTTTCCTCGTTGACATGTCTACCATCTGACCATCTTCTATGAAGACCGCTTTTCCCAGCCCAGGGTACAGTGACCAAGAAGCCCACATGTTCAGTCATATTCACTTCCCATCTCTGCTGGACAACAGCTGCTTTGGCCTCTCAGCTCCTTGGACCCATAGCTAATACTGCCCCCAGAGAGGGACTCCATCGTCATAGTCCCAACACACACACAGACATGACATTCAGCAAGTATGGTTTAGAGAGTCTCCCCATCCATCCACTCATCTAGCCACTATCTGGTTAAGCTGGGCTTCCAGTCCTCTAGGTAACCTCGGCCAAGTCACATCTCTTTTTAGGCCCCAGTCTCCCCAGTGGTATAATAAAGAGGTTGGATCAGAAGATTGCTCCAGGCCCTGCCAGCTTTGGCAGGCTTCATTTATTCAATAGTTTATTCAACATTTATTGGTACCTACTATGTGCAGGCTCTTTGTAGTTCATCCTAATACTCACTCTATAGAATGAGCATTGTGCTTCTCATTTACAGGCAAGGAAACTGAGGGGAAATGAAATGACTTGCCTATGATCACATAGCTAGTAACTGGCAGAGTTGGGCCTTGAACCCAGCCCTATCTGCTCTAGAACCCTCTCCATAGGGAAAGTCTCTGTCTACCATTCAGTCGATGTCTACTCATCTGATCTCTACACACATCCTAATACAATCAACCTGTGATCATTTTCTGTCACCCATTATTTGCCTCTACTAATTTCTCCATCTCCATCCTCTCCTGGCTGTTTTTTAGCTTAAGGGTCTTCGTGTCTCTTCACCTACTTACTTACCTGCCCCCCCCCAACTCCAACCGCCCGTTCTTCCACCCACCCATCCATCCATTTGATCCTCTGCCCACCCATCCACTCACCGTCTCATACACACGCCCACCCACTCATTCATGAATCTATCTACCATCTCTCTGCCTATCTACCGCAACCCCTCAGTCATGTCCTCATCCATTTGCCCTTCCAGGGGTTTCTCCAGAGGACCTAGAGCCTGGAAAGTGCAGAGAGAGGCTCCAAGGGGGTCTTAGGGAGTTTCTGTAGATTCCCCTGGGTTGAAGACAGCTGGGGCCCAAGGTCCCAGTCTGGCTCTTGAAGAGGCCTCAGTGTCTTCTGAGACCCGCCAGCTCTTCTTGCCCGCAGGTATGCTCCAGTAACCAGCCCCTTCGAATGGGCTACTGTGAATCAGATGGCTTCGCCCAGCCAACTCCTAGCATGGCCAGGGCCATGAAGCTCGCCTCCAGGCTGCTCCAGGCTGCAGGAGGACATCAGGTAGGCTTGCTTAGCCTGGACTGGGAGGGAAGCCATACTGGTGAGGATGTTGGGCTGGGCCATTCTTGGAGAGGAAGGAAGTTATATCTGAGTCTGAGCTGCTAACATCACTGTGTTTCCCCTAAGTTTCCTGGAGAAAACTGATGGACTGCAGGTGGGGGCAGGGTGGGCCCATCCTGTGAGGAAGGCATCAAGGTTTTGCAGTTTCCCCCTTCAGGGATGGGGACTCAGGGACTCACTCCCATAATTCTTATAGCCTGGGTTTCTGTTGCGTCTATCAAATGGCTGTGAGGAGATTCCTGTCCTCAAAATCACCTTCCTCCCCCAACCGCTGCCTCCCACACCCATTGGCTTGTCCTGGTCCTGCCTCCCCTTTGAGAATTGCTGGTTGGCGACATATGTAATCTTGCACCAGCCTCATAACCCCCCCGAGCCTCAGTTTTCTACCACACGGGGCGGCTGTGAAGGTTAAATGAGCTCACATATGTGAAACACATGGCCTGGGGCAGGATCACAGTGGAGCAGGCAGGAAATGAGGGTTGCTTGAATGCCATGGCGTCTCCGTGGGGGGTGAGGGAGTGTCATGGCCGCGGAGGGGCTCAGGTGGATGGAGACGATGGTGATGTGCTATCCTCTCTTTAAATCCTGAGGGATGCAGAGAATCCCGGGCGGAGTGGGAAGCGCTCCAGGCCCTGACTCAGCCTCTGTCTCCCAGGTCATCCCCTTCTCCATCCCCCGTATAGAGTATGCTGTCGAGCACCTGCTCATGGGAGGTCTGTTTGCTGGTGGAGGGGCCACCCTTCTGGAGAAGCTGTGCGTTTGTCAGGACTCAGATGTAGGGCATGGGGCTGGGGACAGGCCTGGTGGTGACCCGAGCCCTAGGAAGGGACTGTGTGGGCCTGGGCTGGTGGGATGCCTCTGGTTAATTGTGTGACCTTAAACAGCAAGTCAGCAACCCGGTCCCCGTCTTCAGGATGTGTGTGTTCCAGGGGTGGTGCTGGTGGGAAAAGAAGTGTTTCTTTGGGTCACACCTCCTTCCATGGCTTCCCTCTGGAGTGGGAGTTGGGTGGGCACGAGAGCCAGTCGATGGCTGAAACGCTGTGACTGACCGGATACGTGTCTGTGGTTCCTCAGTGAGGGGGACATTGTGGACCCTTGCATAAAGACAGTGATCAGCATGCGCCGCCTGCCGGACCCTCTCAAGAGTTTCTTGGCCTATATCCTGAAGTACGCAGTGAGTGCGGGCCGAAGGTGGGGGAGGCACGCAGGAGGGGAGAAGCCCTCAGAAGAGAAGGACTCAGAATGAGGCCCAGAGAGTAGGGGGGGCTCAGAGAAGAGGAACTGAAAAGGCTGATGGGGCCAAAAGAAAGCAGTGCTTTTAGAGAGAGGGGTGCATCTCCGAAAGAGGAAGGGGTTTTAGAGAGGGGGTGGGGGCCTCGAGGGGGCTAAAGGCTTGCGGAGGAGTAGAGGCTTCTGCAGAGTTGCTTTCTCTGGACCCTAATTCTGGGCAGACTGGTGTTGCCCTGTGGTTTCCGAGTGGGTCTCTCCTTCTCTCCTCATCTCTAGGAGCCCTGAGCTAGCCAGAAGTTGAAAGAGATTCGTGGAATGGGGTGAGTGCTAGTCTCCTCAGGTGAAGCTCCCAGGCATCTTCTACGGGGTGGGGGGAATTAAGTAAGGGCCACGTGGCTAGAGTTGGCATCCACTGGGGGCAAGGGCTGTTTAGACTTTGGGATCTAATTAGGTTTTTAGGGTTATATCTGACACTGGTTAAATTTAGGCTTTTGAGTGGGGTTGAGATTGGGGCTACTTTGGGGCTGGGGTTTGATTTGGAGTTAAGCTCTGAGCTCAGGCTAGAATTAGCTTAGGCTGGGGTAAAGGTTGGGCCTGAGTTGAGATTGGGTTTGGGTTTGGGTTGGGGTTAAGGTTGGAATTGGGGCTGGAGTAGCCCGAGGGCTGACCGGGGGCCTCAGGTTAGGGGAAGAACCTGTGGTTTTGCGGGGAGCTTGTGAGTCCCTGTGGCTGGTGGGTGGGGCATTGACCAGAGGCTGTGGACTCTTGGGAGCACTGGACAGGCAAGGTGTTTTGGTCAGTGAACAAGACACAGGGTCATTCCCAGCCCATCAGCTGATTTGCAGCTTGCACGGAGACTAGGCTCTAGCTCTTGGTTGTAATGTCCCAATTTGTATAAAAGGGAGTCCTCCCATGCTGACCTTTGGACTTCTGTGTCTTCTTTATTCCCCCAGGACTCCCAAAAAACTGTGGGAACATCACACAGCAGTGGAGGTGATGTGTGCCTGAAGAGACCTCAAGGGACTGCTGGAGCAGGGGCAGCAGAGACCTGGGTGGTGACAGGACTGGCCAGATTGGGGGTGGGCTACACCTGGATGGGGAGGTCTGGGGACATGGGAGGCTAATTTAGTCCATCTCTTTGGGGCCAGGATGATACGTTGTTCCCAAATAATTGCAGCCGGAGACTCCTCTTCCCATCCTTTCACCTCAGCCCCCGGGAAGGCCCTGACCCCTCCTCCCGTGCCCCAGATATCTTAGGGCACATCTCACAGCCTGGGAATTCTTCCTGATGTTGAATGCCACTGGGCCTGGCAGCACCTGACCTTGCCTTGCAAACAGTGACTTCTGCTGGTCTTACCCCTCCCACCCCGTCCCTGTTCCTGCAGGAGCATCAGCAGGAGTTCATAGCCAAGTGGAGGTCCTCGGACCTGGATGTTCTGCTGACACCACCGCTAACCCCTGCCTTCTCTACAGACCATTCTAGCATGGCATTAGGTGAGACGAACCTGGGTCCTGATGGGGTTGAGACCCAGAGCCCAGGACTTCAGAGTCCTGCCACAGCTTCTGTGGCCTTGACCTCTGTTACCATTCACTATTGGAAAAAAAAAATTTCTTAAATTGAGGTAAAATTCAGATAACATAAATTCACTATTTTAAAGTGTACAATTCCGTGGTTTTGAATGTATTTAGAATGCTGTGCAACTACCACCGGTATCTAATTCCAGAACATTTCCGTTATCTTGAAAATAAACCCTGTACCTGTGAGCGGACACTCCCAATTTCCATTCACTTTTAAAATGAATTTTATTGAGGGCCGCCTGACTGGCTCAGTCAGTAGAGCATGGGACTCTGGATCTTAGGGTCATGAGTTCAAGCCCCCCTGTTGGGCATGGAGCTTACTTAAAAAAGGAAAAAAATGAACTTTACTGAAATATAATTCTCATGCAGTGAAACCCACCAACTTTCAGAGTGTAATTTGATAAATTTTAACAAATGCATACAATTGTGTAACTACCGCCACAATAAAAAGATAGACTATTTTTATCACCCACCAAATTTCCCTGATGGCCCTTTGCAGTTCTCCCTATCCTTGCAAACTGCAACCACTGGGCTGCTTTTTGTCACTATAGTTTTGCTTTTTCTGGGATTTCACGTAAATGGAATCAGAAGGAAGGAGGCTTTTGGGTCTGGCTTCTTCCACTTAGCGTATGCATTCACCCTTAACGGACTTCCTGCTGCCCCACTTTAAAAGGTGGCTTTGGCCTAGCCCCCCTGAAATGAAGCCTCGGCACAAGGCAGTTTCTGGGCCAATGCTGGGGCCCCTGCCCAGCACAGGAGCAGGTCTCAGAGGTGTCATCAGTGCAGAATGAAAACCCACCTCAAGCCTGGACTCCTCTTCCCTGGGTCCCCCCACAGTGGCTGCCCAAATGCACATCCCACACCTGGCCCTGCATCAATGTCCTCTGCTGACATCACTGCCCCTTCTTTGTCACTCATTCCCTGCAAACAGGTGGCTGCTGCAGGGGAGCTGCCTTTTTAACTCAGGGTTGCCCTCCCTGCACGCTTCAGCCATCCTCAGCCGTGTGGTCTGTGAAAAACCAGCTAACTTGTCAACCACCTCCGTTTCCTCATTGTACACAGGGAAGAGTCAAGTCCGCCTCCCAGGGGTGGAGAGGACTCAAGGAATCAGTAACAGAGAGAGGCCAGCACAGTGCCTGGCACTGAGGAAGGCTTCGATAGCATCCATCCTCTCCTTCCCTCCACTGTGGGGCGAGCAGGAGGCGGTGGTCAGGTGGATTCCCGGTCCCAGACGGGCAACGTTGCAAGCCCAGAGGGCTGCAGTTCCGAGAAGGACCCCGAGGGGGCGCTCACCCAACACTCTTCCCCACCTGCCTCTTTCGTCCCCTGACCTGGGCTGGCCGGGATCTTCCTACGGATGTCTCCTCCTACTGGAGCCTGTACAATGTCCTGAACTTCGCCGCTGGCGTGGTGCCGGTCACCGCGGTGACGCTGCAGGACGAGGAGGAACTGGCCTTCTACAAGGGATACTACGGAGACAGTTCTGACAAATCTTTCTGGGAGGTCAGTTTCCCCCTCCATACCTCTCCCCCAGGGGCACAAGCCAGGACTGAGTCTTGCCTCCATCCCAGCCCGAGTGAGTGGGAGTGGGGTGGGGCCAGTCATTCCTACTGTTCTATCCTTTATCACTTCTGCTGCGGTTTCATCCCATCTCTGAGGACACACCCTCTGAGCTCCAAGTCAGCCTCTGTCCTTGTCCAGGGAGGATACTTTACAAAACCACGGGCTTCTTGACACTTGCTTAGGGAAAGTTGACCCCAGAGGCAGGAAGAGTGGAGCAAATGCTGCTGGTTAGGAGCTTACTAGGGAATTGGACTGGACACTCCTCCTCTCTGAGCCTCAACGTCTTTGCCAGGAAAATGGGAATTAAAATATCTACCCTGCAGGGTTGTCCTAAAGGTTCAATGGAAAAACAGTGAAGCAATCAGTATAAGGCTTTGTATATAGGAAGTGTTCCAATAAATGCTACTATTACTAATTCAGAGTTGGCTTCACAAAAGGAAATATTTCCATGTGCATATTTAATGCATGATCTAAAATAACAACCCTGTCTTGGGTGACAGAGAGAAAGGGAGGGAGAGAGAGACTGACTCTGAAAAGTATGTATGTGTCTGAGTCAGACATTAAGTAACTTACTTTTCTGGAAATTGATTTTAGTGCTAGAGTTGCCCAGTGGAGCTGCTGACCTGAATTCTGAGAAAATAATAATAATGACACTATCTAATGTGTCTTGAGCTCTTACTCTGTTCCAGGAACTGTTTAAAAGTGCTGTATATATATTAAATCATTAAATCCCCTAACTGTCCTGTGAGGTTTTACGAAGTTGGCAATGGGGGCACACATAGGTTAAGAGATTTGACCCATGCCACCACACCACACAGGCAGGTGAAGTGGAAGGAGCCCGGACTTGAAGCCAGTTGACTTGACTCGTGACAAAGACAGATAAGGGCTTGTATCTTATCATCATAAAACAATGGAAACATGTTTGAATGCCTCTAAGTATGTTTGGATTTCATGGCAGACACTTGGGTTCAGTCCCCATGTTCCTGAGTCTGCATTTGGGGTCAAGGTACCTCTTTCAGTGCAGAAGTATGACTGGGCTCTGGATCAGGGATTTGCACATTCTTCTTTCCTTTGCTGAGAACATTGGGTGGATACTTGTTTTTTTATTTCATGATTGTAGTCAGCTGTCTGCACAGGGAGCAAGTTTTGCATCTTAACCCTGGAGAACTAAAGACAGATAAAGTCAGAATAGTTTTTCCAGGTTTCCCCGAGAGCTGAGGAAGCCTGGGACTCTGAGATCCAGGACATCTCTACCTTAATGTAGATTGCGGATGAGATGTTTGGACTAATGCAGATGGGTGGTGAGGGAGGCTGGGCACGGGGCCTGTGAGCGGAGAGCAGGCTCTAAGCCCACCCACCCGCTCTCTGGGCAGGCGGTACAAGGATCCATGGGACTTCCTGTGGCTGTGCAGGGCGTTGCTCTGCCATGGGAAGAGGAGCTGTGTCTTGGGTTCATGAAGGAGGTGGAGACCTTGGCCAAGAACCACAGGGGACCTGAGTGATTAGGCCACTCCTCCTGGAGGCCTTCCTACATCCTCATCCAAGTCTGCTCCTGCTGCCTCTTCTCGTGAATACTCTCTCTGCCTCATGTTTCCTCCTCCCAGAAGCCCACCAGATTCCTTTTCTTTGTTGTCCTTCTGCATGGGTACTCAATACACGGACTCCTCAGATTGGCCCAAGATGGGGCACAGGGTGAAGGGCTCTTTGCAGTCCTACTTCCAGCCAGCTCGGCATTGGACTCATTCCTCCCTGTACTCGATAGCAGAGACTTTCTGGAGCTAAAACCTCAATGCAGAGGAATAGATTTCCTCCATCCCCCCCATCCACCTATATAGTCAGCCAGCCATCCTACATTTGTTGAGTACCTCCTCTGAACCCAAATGATGGAATTTCAGGCAGAAAAAGACCTGAGAGTTTAACTACGAAGGAATCACGCCAGAAGGGAAGCCCTTACTCCACCTACCACAGAAGGAAGCATCTGGGATGTCCAGGGGCAGGTGAGACAGGGCTCTTGCTGCCCTCACTGGGGCCTCTACCTCTTCCAGGCTCTACCACAGAGCCTGAGATCTCTGCTGGACAAGGAGCCTCATGGTTTCTCCTCAAACAGGGCTATTAGGGCTCTGGCTCCGTCCTCTCTCCCCCTATAAGAGGGAGGTCTAACAGGCCAGGAGAAAATGGTTGCGGGGGGGGGGCGAGGGGCGGGCAGAGAGGTTTTCTACCTCAAGTGCCTTCTACCTCCTCTCTCACTCCCACCGGCTGCAAACAGTTTGGGCACCAGGGGGCAGCATTGAGCTTTACACCGCCCAGACCGGCCCTAGCCTTCAGCTTTCAGATGCACTGTCTCCAGGTCTTTCCCAGTCTAAACACAGAGGGGAAAACTAGAGGTGGGGAGACCGAGATTGGCGAACATAGGAATAAGCTGGCGGTTTAAACTTTAGTAGATTATAAGACATAGGGGGCAGAATTCTATTTTTGTCTGAAATGAGCCTGGGGAAAGAGTGGCAGATACCAGCCCAAGGGGCCCAGTAAATGGGAAGCCTAGCCTCGGGCCAGATTTCCCTCCAGGCTGGGCTTTCTCTTGTTTCTCCCGAGCTGAAATTTGGGTCAACAACTGCCTTCCTCCGCAGCTCCAGCTCCAGTTCCTGTGCTGGCCTGTAACCTCTCACTACCTGCCAGCACCATCTTCAGCTGAAGTCACTCCCTGGTCTGCGTGACTGTGGGCAGGTCATTGGCTTTCTCGGCGCCCTTTCCCATAGTGGCTGAGGCCATGGGTGGGTGGGTGTGGATGGGATGTCCAGGGACAGGGCATCGCCTCCTTCTCCCCTTCCCACTCCTGTTACTTCCACTGCAGAAGGCTTGATCTGGGTGTGCAGGTGTCCAGCTTCCGGCTCAGCCTCCTCCGGGGCAGTGGGGAAGTCTCCCAGCTTCTTTGAGCCTATTTTTTTCTGTGAGATGGAAACGATTACCTCTGCCACAGCCACAGGATGAGACTGATCCACAGAGAGTGACAGCCACTCGAGGTCCCCTCCCCAGCCTGGGAGTCATTGCGGAGTGTCCAGCGTTCACCAGGAAAAGCCAGCTCCTGGAGGAGCCCGAAAGCAATAGGGTGGTGGGTCACTCCAGGGAGGGAATTTTTTATTTTATTTTATTTTATTTTATTTTATTTATTTTATTTTATTTTTAAAGATTTTATTTATCTGACAGAGAGACACAGCGAGAGAGGGAACACAGCAGGGGGAGAGGGAGAGGGAGAAGCAGGCTTGCCGATGAGCAGGGAGCGGGGCTCCATCCCAGGACCCTGGGATCATGACCTGAGCCAAAGGCAGACGCTTAAGGACTGAGTCACCCAGGCGCCCCCCGGGGGGGGGCGGGATTTAACTCCGAAACAGGGGAATTCCAGTGGGAGGGGGTGTCCACAAGGCTGGCACTGCGGCCCCTGGCTAGGACGCTTTGGGAAGGGGTTGTCTTGAGTTCTGGTCTTGCTTCTGTGCTGTGAGATGCAGGTAAGAGCTATCCTCTTTCTGGGCCTCTGTTTCCCCGGTGGCTGCACGGGGCCGGGAGGGGTGGGGAGGGGTCCGCGTGTCTCCCCGCTCCCCTCTTCATTTGGAAGGCTCTGCCAGCC